GTGTGTAATAAATACACATAACAAAACCGAGTTGAATCATCAATAAAAGTAACAACATATTTCTTATTGCTAAGGGAGGGAGTTGAGTGAAAATCACATTGATCACTATGTACAAGATCCAAAATAGTCGAACTCCTTTTGATATTAGGAATCGGTTGTTTTGTAATCTTAGTAAGCATGCAAGTCCTACACATATCATTATTAATATCAAAGGGTGGAATTAAACCATCTTTAAACATTTCATGCATTTTTCTAAAGTTAACGTGAGCTAATCTAGCATGCCAAATCATACAATCATTAATGGAAGATGCCACAAAAACAAAATTATCACTAGAAATTAATTTATCCACAACATTTAAACGAAACATGCGATTTGATAAATATCCAAAATCAACAAACACACCATGCTTGGGCAGAATATATTTATCAGATTCAATCACTTGTTTGAATCCTAAGTTATTCAACATACTTCCCGAAACAAGATTCTTTCAAACCTTCGGTACATACAAAACATCAAATAACGTAATTGTTTTTCCAGAAGTAAATTCTAAAAAAACTACATCCTTTCCCAAGATTGGCGCCATTGACTCGTGTCCCATGCATAAGAAGAAAGCGACCTCTACTAGTTATAGGTCTTCAAACCATTCTTTATCCTTACACACATGGCTCATAGCCCCCCCCCCCCCCCCCCCCCCCCCGAGTCAATCTATCATGCACAATCATCACCCTGTACATAAAAAGATTCTGGAATGAGTGATACATAATTCTGAATAGAATTATCAAAGTTGTCAAGAACTGACCTCCTTTTGGTGGAACCAGGTCCACAGACCGTTCTTGTCCACTCCCACTCATTCCAGCTCCATTCTTGTTCAGTTTCACACGGCAATCACGCTTGACATGCCCAACTTTTTGACATCTCCAACAAACCAAACCTTTCGGTTTGTTGGGTTTGTCATGGTCTTCATACTTGCGCTTCTTTCCTTTCCCCTTATTGTTCAGGTTAGATTTTTTATCCTCAACTAAGTGAACATGAGGCTGTTCAGATTCAACTTCACCCTTAATTTGGTCATTCTCTTGCGCACGAAGAGACTTCTCAATGTGCAAGTGACTTCCAAGTTCAACCAATGGGAATTCCTCATCTTGATGTTTTAAGGAACGTTTAAAGTCCTTCCAAGAGGTGGAAGTTTGTCAATTATACTCGACACGGCATAAGATTCATCAATACCTATCTTGTGGAGTTTAAATTGAACAAGAACACGGAGGAGTTCATTGGATTGTTCCATAACCGGCCTTGATTCAACCATTTTATAATTATCAAAATCACTCACCAAGAACTTCTTACTAGAAGCATCTTCGGCGATGTATTTTGACTCAAGAGAATTCCATAATTCTTTCTCACTCTCAAAGTTTTGGAAAATATCAAATAATGTATCGGATATACCGTTAAGAATATGGCCTCTACATATGTATTCATCGTTCTCCCACTTGTTACGTCTCCTAGTTTGTTCCAAGGTTTCATCTCCCCTCACTTCTGGCATCAGAGTGCTCAACACTTACACGACCTTCAAAGTGGTGAGAAGGAAATGCATCTTCTTTTGCCATCTACGGAAATCATTCCCTTGAAACTTGTCCAATTTGTTGAACTTGGTTGTCATCTCTTGCACGGTACTCATGATTATCACAAAGGAATATCAATTTGATTGTTGGGGTTTCGTGTATAGAGGGTGATAATCAAGTACTTGGATTGTTCAAGGATCGTGCAAGTTCACTTTCCGAATTGATATTTCTCCCTTATGTCTAGGTTACAAGAAATTCAATTTAGGATAATCCTTAAGGACACTCTAGAACATAGACACAAGAACTAGAGCCAAACTAGTGAGTACATGGATTATTTTATTAATTTGAATGCCAAAAGTGATAAAGATATCTTGTATCTTTTTTCTCCCCTTCTTTGTACAAAATATGGTGATATATATCCATATTATCCGTTTGATGTAGTTACAACACGTTTGAGAATAACCGTGGCAGTTTTTGAAAAACTGCACGAAACAGCCCAACTGCTCTAGACCTCGGTCTAGAACCACAATTCCACAAAGTTGGTCTACTGAGTGTTCTACCTCGAGTTCCACTGCCGTAGACACTTTGGAATAAAACTCGTTCTTATATGCATGTGTGCACTCCACATCTACTAGCTTGTATTAGAACACGATTCTAATTCCCATTGGCACTCATGTTATTTCCAATTACACAAAATGACTGGTGACACTAAAACCACCAACACTCTTCATTTCTCATCCAATTGATAAAACATTAGATTAGTGCAATTGGGCTATTGCAACTGTAAAATCACCAACCCAAAACCCAAAATAATTTTACTGTAGAATGATTTCAACTCAGCCCAATTGGAATGACGTAGCTGCATAGAACACATCAACCCAAAATTGAGGCGGTAGATGCGCCTCGGTAAGCATAGTACGAATTAATTCTAAAATATGATGATGTTTACGTTCTGCGACACCATTTTGCGAGGGGGTATCCGGGCAAAATTTTTGAAAAAGAATACCACATTTAAGAAAATGAGTATGAAAAATATTATCATCAAACTCACCCCCACCACCACTTTGAAAACATTTGATTTTACAATCCAAAAGATTTTCAACTAAATTCTGAAAATGACAAAAATGAGTAAAAACCTCAGATTTTCTACGCATGGGATAAACCCAAGTGAAACAAGAAAAGTCATCAATAAAACAAACATAGTATTTAAACTGTAATTGAGAGAGAACAGAGGATTGCCAAACATCCGAGTGAATTAATTGTAAAGGAGCAGTAGCACAATGTAAAAACATCTTGAAACGGCAATCTATGAGATTTGCCAAGTCTACAAGAAGTGCATGAAAAATTGAAAGTAGTAGTATTATTAATTAAATGTGTGTGCCGCAAGGTAGACAAAATGATATCACCACAATGACCCAACCGTTTTTGCCAGACTTGACCAGATGCAGACGAGGTGAGTAAGGCAGGAGACACGCTAGGTGGGGTGAAATCATAGATCATATCTTTATGAGAAGCTCGGAGTAGAGTTGCCCTCGGGTGATTGTCCTTAAAATAAAAAACATTTTAGTCAAAAATAACAGTGCAATCATTATCCTCACATAACCTTTGAATTGAGACTAAATTAAATTTAAGGTGAGGAACATGATATACAGATTTTAAAGTAAGCGGGCGACCAACTGTAGGTAAAATACTATCACCAATTGTAGACACTGGTAAATTAATTCCATTAGCAACCTGCACATTTATGGGATTTGCAAGAGAAGACTTATTTGACAAAATACCTTCCGTGGGTGTCATGTGTTCCGAGGCTCCAGAATCAGGATACCACACTGACTCATTGATGTCTCCAGTAGGCAAAGCAGCAAGGGCAAGAGTAGAGCCAGAGGTAGACCTAGGACAAGTTAGGGCTGAATTACCCAGGGAAACCATTATTGACACACAATAGGGGGCATTGGGGAATTATAGGAGTGATCAATTGATGAAGAGTTCCTTATATTGGCCATATTTCAAGGTATATTTATGAATTATTCAACGTTTTTAAAAGTCAATGAAACTAATTTATTTTTGTATATGTGTTAGACTTTATTTATGTTTAATTTTTTATTTATTGTATTAGGATTCAGTTGCAGCATTAGAGGGTACTAACATAGAAGCAATTATATCAGATGTAAAGGGGGTGCCGTTTCGAGGACACAAAGGAAGCAAAACCTGGAATGTCTTAGCATGTTATTCATTTGATAAACTATTCACGTTTATCAATATTGGCTGGGAAGGAAGAGCTCACGACGTAAGAGTGTGGGTTGATTCCTTAATGCAATCAAAATATCATTTTCCTCATCCCCCACCAGGTATAAAACACAAATAAATTTATTATTAAAGATTTTTGTAAATATAAAATAATATCCTTTTAACAAAGTCAATTTAAAATGTAGCTAAATATTACTTAGTAGATTCAGGCTATCCAAACACACTTGGATATTTAGCTCCATTTGATGATGCGGGAATGAGGAAACACGTGTCAGAATTTCGTGCCGATGGTAAATCAAGAGGAGTAATGGAACATTTTAATTATCAACACTCATCACTGAGAACTACCATTGAAAGAGCATTTTCTCATCTGAAGAAAATGTGGAAGATACTTCACAATATGCCCAAAATGAAAGATGAGCATCAACAGGCAATTATTTTCTCTACGTTTACACTTCATAATTTTATCACCATGTGCAAAATGGGAATGCCAATTTATGAACATGAAGGGAATGGAGAAGGCATGGTTGATTAAGATATGTTCAACAATGGCCGAAAAGAAGCTATGAACAATGTTCACGTGGAAATTGCGAAACAAATTTGGGAAGACGTTCAGAAACCCAAAATGATTTTATCACCATATGCATAATGATATTTATTATTTTATAGTACTTTTTTTGTTCTAAAAAGATTTATAGTTTACCCATTTTTCATACAATTTTTTTTACAAATCAAGATTTTATTTATTTATTTTTTATTTATTTGTTTTTTACAAATCAAGATCATCTATATTATTATGTCACTTGTATGACTTAAAATACGAACAGACTAAACCAAGCAATAATAAAATAGTACAAGTATTAATAATACCAACGATAACAATAACAATACTGGTGGTGGTGGTGGTGGTGGTGGCGGTGGCGGTGGCGGTGGCGGTGGCGGTGGCGGTGGCGATAATAGTAATAATAGTAATTATTGTTGTTGTTGATGTTATTATTGTTATTATTATTATTTTTATTATTATTACAATATTACTATTATTACTATTATTATTATTATTATTATTATTGTTTTTATTTTTTTATTATTATTATTATTTAAAAACCACAATTTTAATACAATTTGTCACATTTTAAAGTTCAATTAGGCACTTCATGTGTCTCTCATAAGTCATTTTACGCATTCTTAATTGCAACATTTATGTACAACTAGCAAGTGCATCTGCTATCAATAACATGATTACAGTCAATGATCACAATCGAGAATACTCGAACATTTTAATGCATCTCATAACTAGGTCTCAGAATAAATAATAAATCCAAAAAATCCATCATCCACATTCATACATATGCATCATAGCAATTGCAACCCAAACAAAGGTTCAAACAGCTCCTGATCTTAAAAGCCAAAACCTATTATAATGTTCTTGTAGCCAATACGATGTTGCATACTAGAAGTAAATAAGAGAAAAGTTTTATTTCTTGGAGAAGAGGTTGCGGCAGAAGAAAAAGATGGAGACGGAGGATTGTGCCCAATGCCGGTATCACTATGCTCCACCTGAAATTTCTCAAAACGTTTAAAAGGAAAAGGTTAGTGAGGTGATCATTCAAACGTTTAGAATGTTTGTTAGGGAGTATAGTGATAAATAAGCCAATAAGTTAAAGAAAAATTATAAGAACCTTTTGAAAGAAATATACTCCAAGAGGCACCCATGCTTGCCTCAATCACCCACAAATCGTCCAAGTACTTGATGAGTTTAGAGCAGTGGAAAAAACCTTTTGAAATAAATACATTACGTAGTTTTTGAATGAATTGTAAAATGGAACAAAAAACGTGTAAAAACATGTGTCATTCTAAAACACAGACTCTAGGCTTGGCAAGAGATCAAAAGAACAACATAAATTACATAGATATAAAGAAAGTTGCTAGAAACTAAATTGGAAAACAGTACATTTTAATAGCATACCAAGTGTTTTAAACATGTAAAAAATGTGCAAATGAAATCACATACAAGTAACAAATAATTTTTATGATAAAATGCGATTTTGTCTTTAAATGGTGTTTTAAATGTTCTAACAATTAGGAACAAACAATTAAGCTATCAGTGTCTACAAAGAGCCAATGCAATAAGTAAATCAGCAATGCATTATAATAATTCAACCATGATTACCCTTTAAAATCAATGCTTTTCAGAGTGGATGTTGCTAATGAGTACAAGGCTTTCAACATAGCTAAAGACATCATAAAGAATCTCATTTCTGCCCGCAAAACGGACCTTGACTTCATTAGAAGCGGGATCAAGCAAAAAACTACCATTAGCAGCAATCTTATAGTTCCCCTCTACTGAATATCCAGCATAAACGTTACAGACAATCTGGTTCCTCCAAAAAGTATGTGGTTTTACAATGGGCGGATAAGGGCCACAAGTCAGTATCTTACTCCAAGAACCAGCAACGCCTTCCTCAAATACCCACAAATCAATTAAAGTATTTCCTGCGTTTGAAGCCCTAGAATAATGAAATACGGCAAGCCTGTTCTCATACATCGTCAACTTGCGACTAGCATCTTCTCTGATGGGTAAAGGAGGCTGTGGTATCAATCTGAACCCGTCCGTTGCTATATCAAATGAAGCTATGACACAAGTAGGAGATGTCAAACTATTTTTTGTTGCAAACCAAAACATAGACGCATTAGAGGTAAGACCATAAGAGAGAATGCTTCTGCCCAAGCCAGGATTTTCTATTTTCTTCCATGAATCTGTGGTAAGTGAATAAACTTCAAATTCATATTCCACATCACCCTGCCTCATATAGGTTATGACAATTTTGTAGTCGTTGATAGTTGGACTGAATGCAAAGCCCAAAATACGAAAACGACAGAAATCCATGATTGTTCTGCTTCTAGGCACCACACTAAGCTCTCTAGTTGCAGGATTGTACAAGTAAAGCGACAGTAAAGTACCAAGCGGCTCGGTCTGAATACAGAGCAGGCCGTTGCAGGAGCCGACGATACTGGCGAACCCTAACGAATCGAGAAAAGGATCGTTCTGAACTTGGCGGAGTTGCATGTCGCGGTCGAGAAAATATAGACTCGAGGTATTGGAGACCCTGTTCTGTCCCATGGAAATAAGAGAGGGATATTCTCGGTTGGAGTGATCGAGGTGGCTGGCAATGAAAGATGGGCTCTTGATGAGATTCTTCCAGAGATTGCACACACTTTGGAATCGGATTAGGGATTTCGCCGGAAGTCGCTTGAGAACGTCGGAGATGATTTCTATGGGAAGGAATGGAGCGCCGCTACTCATCTCTGCCGGCGCCTGCATCTCACTCCACCTCGAAGGTGCAACAACGAATCCCCCTTAGGTCTGGTTTCACATTTTGCAATTCGGATTTGCTTAAGGCAGAAAGAGAGGGTTATAATAATGTCATATGGAGTATCAATTTTGCTGATGGCTCTCATGTGGTAAGTAATTCTTTTTTTATATAAAATGTCATAACTTTTTAATTTTTGCTCCAATTTTTATAAATATTATACCAAATTAAATATTTTTTTATGATCTTTCATATGATACTCATATTATATAATTCCTCCGTCCCAAAATGATAGTCATGTATTTCTTTGTAGGGATGTCCCAAAATGATGGTCATGTTTCCCTTTTTGGAAAGAAAGATGTGATCCATATCATTTCACTTTATTATACTCAAATCTCAACCACAACTTTTAACTTTTCAATCACTTTATTAAAACCTGTGCCTAAAAGAAATGAGACTATCAAATTGGGACGGAGGAAGTATGTAATTTTAAAAAAAATCTGGTCAATTTCCGTGAAAGGTCGATAAATGTATATATTTACTATTATTTAAATCTAGTTGTGAGAAAACAGTTGACACCCATTAAGCCATTATTAAAGATGTTTCCTAATTAATAGGAAAAAACAGTTGGGGGTGCACCTAGCAACTACACTATGAGTCCGTACATTTTGTCTTAGGGTACACAAGATGAACACAAATTATACATCATATAAAACCCCAAAAAATTACCATTCCATTTATCCCCTACCTTCTTTCCTCGAGTTTTTTCCCATGGAGGGGTGTTTTTCAAACTTATTTCCCAAAGGCGACACGTCAGCTTATCCACATCATCCCATCAATTCCATGTCATCAATTTTGAGAGTTTAGGTGTGCTTCTAAAATATAGAAAAAGATGAAACTAACAAGAATCGAACCTGGGTGGAACACAAGAAAGACATGTATGTGAACCACTACACTACATCATCCACTTGTTAACAAATGCCTTTTAAGAAGTATAAATCATGTATCCTTCATCCCGGGAGTGCACTATTTCTTAATCGCATGTATTATTCGTTGCTTTAGAAATATCTCTCTTTACCAAACAATAAAAAATGTAATAATAAAAAACTGAATTTGAGTTATTCAATTAAAAATCTTATTAAAACTTATAATAAAAACATAATTTGCTAATTTAATTTGAAAAATAAAGAAATATTTAACTTAGAATACAAAAAATTAATCTAAACTTATAATGACAAAACACAATTTGGAATATGTATTTTTTTTAAATAACTTAGCTTCAAATGAAATAAAATCAATTAAAATAAAAGTCATATTTCTGAGTTACTTATTTCTAAGTTACTTATTGCATGAAATTTACTTATTTTTTATTTTATTTACTTTTGAGTTATTTCAAATAACTTTTAAATTATATACTTCAATTTTTTTATAAATTTAAATTACATTTTTATAGAATTAAATATCGCAAACTAAGCTTTTCGTTGTGATTATTTCATTATAGCAGCTCAACTCTTCTGGACTCGGTTCAATTTTCTCATTGATTATTATTGTTTCAAATTCAAATACAACACTCAAATTTGAACTAAATTGTAACATGTTAAATTTTAGTGAAATTTGCAATACAAATACTTTAAGTCCAAGAATGTATACATTTAGCTGTGTATTACTCATTGCTTTAAAAATATATAGCTTCTTTTTAAAATAATTAAAAAATTACGCAAAATACTAGGTTTGTGATCATTAAAAATAAAGACTTAATTAAAATTTATTGTTACTAAATGTTATGAAAGGCTCTAACCCACCCCAATTTAAAATCAGATACTATTCATGTCAAGAAAATCATATAATATTTATCTAAGAAAGAAAAAACTTGATAAATTTATAAACGAAAAATGCTTGGTTCCGAGGCGGAGTCGAGCTGAGGTTGAACAAAATTGAGCTGTTAGAGAATTTTCATAAAGAAAAATTTATACGATATTTTACATTAATATTAAACCTTTTATAGAATTTAAAGTGGACTAGCATGAAATTTACTTATATTTTATTTTATTTTATAAGTTTTTTATTGTTATATTTTTAATTGTTTGGGAAAGGAAGAAATATACTTCGTATTTCTAAAGGAACAAATAATACATGCGATTAAGAAATAGTGCACTCCCGGGGTGAAGGATACATGATGTATACTTCTTAAAAGACATTTGTTAACAAGTGAATGGTGTAGTGTAGTGGTTTAAATACATGCCTTTTTTGTGTTCCACCCAGGTTCGAATCCTGTTAGCTTCATTTTTTTCTGTATTTTAGAAGCACATTTAAACTCTCAAAATTAATGACATGGAATTGATGGGATGATGTGGATAAGCTGATGTGGCGCCCAGCACTGATACTGAGGTGACATGGCAAAAAATACCCCTATTTGGGAAATAAATTTAAAAGTACCTTAGTTTGGGAAATAAGTTTGAAAAACACCCCTCAATGGGAAAAAACTCTTCTTTCCTCTCTTTCTTTCCCTCACACCCCCCCTTCCCGTTACCTATTTTCGCACGCAAAAACCAGAACAACACTGTTCACTGAAGCTCTTCTTCCTCTTATTTTCTGCACAGGTCGACGGAGTAAGAGGTAACCGGAGTGTTGAGGAATGGATTACAGTCCTGAGGAGATGGCCTTCATCAGTAGTTACGACATGGGCGGGTTTATGGGCTTTGAAGGAGACAAATCCAGTTCTGAACCTCCGGCGACCCAAGATGAAGGTGAGCCCAGTACGAAAGACGTACGAGATGGAGAGGAAAAGCTGATTTTGGACGTTGGTGATGAAGAAGGTACGTCGAACGTAATGTCTGTGTACAAAGACATTTACGTACTAAATGTTTGTGTTGTTATTGCCTGTCCACAGACGTTTATATGAGTTCTCATTATTTGTTATATATGGTTTCAGGCAGATCTGGATAACACAAATGTAGATGGTGGTACAACAGAGGTTCATGTAGAAGTTGGGATGTTGTTTCCGTCTAAAAAAGTGTTCCAATTCAAGATCCAAACAGGACTAAACGTAAAGGCACTCCAAGAAAGAACAGGATAAAAGGGCCTATTGAAAAGGGGAACAAAAAAACAAAGGTACACCAAATTCTCTGTGTAATGTCTGTGAGACCAGGGAAATTTGTCTGGTCACAGACATTAGCCCTCTGGAAGTCCATCTTCCTCCCAGTGTGTGATGCATGTGAGACCGAGGAAATTTGTTTGGCCACATACATTAACCCTCTGGAAGTCCATCTTGGTCCCAGTGTTTAATATCTGTGACACCGGGGAAATTTGTCTGTCCACAGACATTACCCCTCTGGAAGTCCATCCTCACCCAAGTCTGTACACATATATTAACTGTTATTGCTATGCATAACAGGGGCGGTCAAAAAAGAAAGCTGGGAAAACATCAGTGGAAGTGAGCGAACCAAGTAATGTTGAAGACGTAGTACCAACAAATGTTGCACCAACCGATTTACAATGGATATATAATGATGACTTAAGCTTGAATCTTTCTTTGTTTTAGGCAGTTAGAACGTGCATGTAACGCAATTTATGATATATTATCACATACTTAGCCTTAAGGTATTCACAATGCAAGAAGGATTTAGATTTTGCAAATGTTCACATCCATTTTACTACCATCAAATTGTATTAAAATTGTGGTTTTTAAATAATAATAATAATAATAATAATAAAATACTAAAATTTACTGCAGAATGTTGCTCCCAACGATGCAATATCAAAGTATTACATTTACCATTAAATGTGTTGCTTTAATTTTTCTGGAGAATGGTGTTGCCCTAGGTTGTTTTTACTTGGACTATAATTCGTCTCAGACCAAAACAGATCAGACCAGACCAGATTAAAACAGACAAGACCAGACCATATTTTATTATTATTATTGTTATTGTTATTATTATTACTATTATTACTATTATTATTACTATTGTTATTATTATTATTTGTAAGGAATATTTGTATTTAGATTTTGATGATGCTAGATTAATTAGGACTTTAGAGTACCCCTATTTAGACTTAATGTATTAGAATTTTCATTTGTAAAGTTCTTAGTGTAATCGACTTGGCAGAATGCCTTCAGAGCAGAAGACCTTCTGAGCAGAAGGGCTCCAAGAGCAGAAGACCCTTGTAAGGCATTATTGAAACAGAGGACCTTTGGTTCTTTGCTCCAGAACAGAAGACCTCAGGGTCTCTGTTAGCCTTTACTCTGACAGAAACCCTTCTGGGTCTCTGTTGGATATATTCTCAACAGAAGTGCTCCAGACCTCCTCTGTTCAACTCTCAGTTAAAGACACCAGAAGGTCTGACACTTAGAAGAATTCCACAAAACCGGGAAGTCAACTGAAAGATTCCTTCAACGGCTAGGAGTATTGAACGGAAAAGCTACAGTACGCGCATTAAATGCTCATTTAATGCTCCCCATGCTCCGTAGAGTAATTGCAGATGATTGGCCGCAATGTCAGGAATACTTTATCCCAAAATAGTAACCCGCCAACTTTACCGGGCTCTACTGGTCAAGTCAACTGATCGCTCATTTAATGCAGTTGTCCTCCTACTCCTCCAACGGGAAGACAACCTCAGTATAAAAGATACACTACGAAGAACAACCGGATAACTTTGCAATTTTTGCTAAACATTGCTACAACTCTTCATACAAGAAATTCAAACTCTGAAAAGCAAAAAGCCTCCTTGAGATTAACACTTCATCATCTTCTACAAGAGAAGGCAGAAGTTGGAAAAATACTTTTTCCAACTCAAGCAAAGTTCCAAGTGTTCTTCAACTCTTCAAGCTCATCACATACAAATCCTTTGTAACGAAGCTAGTTGGAGGAACCCCTGTTTTAACAGAAACTCTTCTTGCTACAAGAAGGACGTCCAAGTAACTTGAGTTGTGAAGTGGTGATACTTCCAGGAATCTCAGTGAAAGGACCAGTCTTAAAGGAAGCCAGGCAGTGCATCCCAGGAGACATCTACACTTGAAGAAGACGTGGAGAGCTTCTTAAGTGATAGGGCTAAGGCATTGTAAACGGAAGTCTTTACAGCTTAGTGGAACAGTGGACTAGAG